GTTGCCTGATGTTGGGATTGTGAGTGTTTTGTCTACTCGCATGTCTATGATGTTGTTTCAGAGCTGACGTATAGTTTTTAACTTGGCGTCCTTTCCATGTAATTTACTGGCTGTACTAAGTACACTCAGTGTCCAGTTTTGCTTGCAGACAGTAAATCACATCCCACTTAGGAGGTTATGAAAGCAGACCTGCTCCCGAACAAACAGGACCAGTGGAAGCCTGTGAAATAAATCACCTTACATTTATTTTTGTCCTGCTCTTTGCTAACAACAATCTCCTTACTGTTACCTATTGGAAGATTACAAATGAATGTGCCATATTTACTGCTGAGTAAGGCTGCCATTGGTAAGCTTTCGCGCCTCACCGGCATGGCACTGGGGTTAGGGTGAGGGAGGGCATTCCCTCTGCAGGGTTAGGGTTAGGTTTTGGTTTGGAGACATGGTTAAAGTGCCAGTGGTCACATGTTTTTGGAAACCCTCCACAACTCTTTGACAACAATTCGACATTCATTTCACGCAGTGGTTGGCCAACTATTTTTTGTCACTGAAATTATGTAGACATTACCCGAAGAAGTTGTGTGTGAGAACGCAAATGTCCGAATCAGTCAGATTTGACATTAAACAGATCCTTCAAACTCCCTGGTGAAAAGTCTGTGTAATGTCCGATTGAGCCCATGTGTGAGTAGTGCAGGTAATTGCCTGGAGAATTCACGGCGAGTGTGTGGGCGTGTTGGTGACATTTCTATCACAAGGCTTGCCCGAAACTGGAGGAAAACAAACATCCAAGGATGAAGAGGAAGGGTCATTTACACGAAGATGTCAAACGAAAATGTCTACCTGGATAGATGACCAGATTTAGCCACGCCTGTTGTTAAACGCCGAAGCTGTAATCGTCAGACAAATTCAAGTATCAGCAAAAGACTCCGTCTTTTAATGCCCAAATTAGGAACTGGCTATGGGACCTCGATGTAATCTGTGTTATGCCCTTTGTCCTGCACGCTCTGCCCAGGCACCACCCCTTGCCTAAATGAAATAGAGTAATTCCAGTTGGTCAGAACCCCCCTGACAGAGACAGTCTCCTGTTGTGTTCTTCATGTGTGGATGAGAATCTTTGGAAAATGTCTGGATCTGATTCTCCAGACATTGTCCGGAGTTCATATGAGAAAACGGCTTGTGAAAGGCTTCCAGGAGAGACTGTTTTTACCTTGCCTTCAACTGTGGATGTTTGAAACACTAGCGACGTAGTCAGACAACACCAGGATTTGGGGTCAGGGGTAGGGAGGGCTTGGTAGCTGAAGGCAGCAATGCTGGGAGGTTAATACAGAAGAAAAACCAAACAAGGTAGCACAAAGGGATCAGCGTAGCCTTTTTATCAAACTTCAAAATCCTGAGAAATCATCCTCAGTCAAAAGGAATTTAAGTTTAAAGCCCTTCAAAGAAGACCGTGCAAGGTGTCGTGATCCACAGAGGAGTGAACAATTAAAGGCAAAGTAGCTCAGATATCTTTGATCGTCTGCCAATCACAGAGACCTCCATAACTGTGGAAGCGTGGGATTAGGCTCCTAATAACCAAATTAGCCTGTCTCGTGAAATCAGATGTGACATAGTGAAAGAGTTCTCTACTGGAAGATTCTTTTAACTTATGGAAGAAAAAGCACAGGAGTCTAAAGTCTCCTTGAAAGGAGCTTGGCTATGGCTTTGCCCTCCATTAGCCATTAATATAAAAATATTATATTTAAATTTGCCTGTACACTATTTGTGAACTACTTTAAAAGTACTTATGTAATAGACCAAAAGATATCAGGCTTCAAGTGACATAAGCAAGAAAATTGCTGCATTGGAAATCTTGAAAACCAAACAAAACCTCTGAGGAATAAACACTTAAGAAACACAAACACATTTAAGCTCATATAAAGAGCAAAACTGATCTGCTTTCTTAAAGCCTTAAGCTCCCAGAAAGTATTCTCCTTTGTAATAGTTGTTGTAGCACAGTCATGGGGTCCTGGTGGCCATCTGCCAGCTACTTGAGGTGCTCTAACTGGCCAGCTGGTTTCTAGTGAATTGGAGTTGGTTAAGTTGCAGACCTGCAAAGTCCAATCCTGTGTGAGCGTTAAAGGATTTGTGTTAGACTGTTGAAGTTCGTAGGGCAACTAAGCATCACCTTAAGCCGTGAGTGATGGCCAGCTGGACAAGAACAAAACTCTGTTCTCTTTAAGGAGACACCTGCATTGTTACCTATTGGGGGACAGCTCAACGGGGGCCCACAGGTAACTTTAAACATTGGGGCCCCCTGGTGGGTTAATCCGGCCCTGGGTTAAAAGTGTTTCTACTTATGATGAGTTTCTTTTCTTTTAATTTAACTTTTGACTTCCAGGATCCAAAATACATAAAAGAAGATTACAGTTCTGTTTTGTACAGAAGAATAAAGTCAGAATAAGAATTTGGTGCAGAGCCACCACTGCTGCCTTGTAAATAGCTTCCCTGTGCAGTCAAATGCGACTTTCACTGTGCACACCAGGTGGGTGTAACTTGGTGATGTGGCACCATGGCACACCAAGCCTGTCCTGGAAATAGTGCTTGCCTCTGTCTGTGGCCTGGTGTTATGCAACTATTTATTCAGCCACTGTTGTACAGCAGGTCACCTCCAGGGTACTAAACCTGCCAGCAGTGTGCCAGCAGCTAAACCGGCTGAATAAACCAGAAGATTCACATTTCACAGAGGAATCCCAAACCCACCACAGCACTGACTGTAAGAGGAGCCATCGACTGTCATGTCTCACATCTAAACCTCTCACTATGAGTAAAGACTGAGCGTCCATGGTAAAATAACAGGAGTCAGCATTTCACATGTGGAACACACTTTTTATAATTAGATCAGCCGTGGCTTCTGGCTCTCCGAACATGGGAATCCAGTGCCAAACCTGACGCAGTGGAAGATTTTATCCTTTGACTCAGAAAAGCAAACGGCAGACATATTTACCCTGATGCTGTTTTTAAACCTCTTTATAAAAGAAGAATCTACTGCTAACTTTTAACAGTTTCAGCCTATTCCTCCATTGGCTGCCAGGTTCAAAAGCTCTTTTCTATTTACTTCTTGCTGACCTTTAGCAGTGGTGATGGGTTAACACTCAGACAGAGGAGTCACACTGAGCTGTACAAACACAGCAGGGACAGTTCAGTGAGGAGCTGAAGGGTCAAGTTACAAGAAGTGAGTGTCTTTGTCAAACAATGAACAGATGGTTGTGCTGTTTGTTGAATGGCCTGTACCCGCCGTTTTTTGTAAAGGGTCTCACTACATGTACAAAAAACATGTCGTTCCATTTAACTCTAGTTAAGTGATGGTTACTTGGCACGACAACACCATAACCCCTGGTATTGTTTTCACATTGTGAGTCTAGGTCAAAGGCTGAAAAATGAAGCCAACGCGGTAGTGCTAAAAACTGCAGTTTCTCAAATGGCCACTTGAGGCTGGCTCTAAAAGATCTGCCTAACTGTTGACACCTTTTGACACTGCAATAGCATCACAATCATGCAAGATACAGTCACGAAACTTTACAGGTGTGTAGCTGAGATGAAGATGAAGGCCGAATTGAAAGATGGGCTTGGTCCGAGCAAGGGGCCTGAAAGTAGGGGGGTAGAAGGTAGGGAAGGGGCCATTGCTTCCCCAGTTTGTTTTAAATCACGGATCGCTGTATTGCAGCTTGAGTGACCCATTGCAGGATAGTCTCTAGCTTTGGTTTCATTTTGCCTGGTTTTTAGATTCTTTGAGAAGCCTTTGAGATTTAAATGGAATTTCCTGCTAGAGCACTAAAAAGTGACATTTGCACAATTGATAAGCCACTTATCTTTCAGAAAACAACATCCTAGTTGCTCTGGACAGTCCACCTTACTCTAAGCTGTTTTAGTGGAACTACTTTCTACTGTTTTTGTGAAAGACACATTGCTGATGACTTTTACCAACGTAACTTTTCTGTATTTTGCGCAACACAATTCAAATTCTATTCAGCTCTTTTGTATTAGAATAGTGATCGAAGTTTCAAAACTTGGGCGCATAAAACCAAAACTACTTCTACCACTGCTGGGAAATTAGAGAGAAAATATGTCATTTTGTAATTTGATTGAACTGACCTTCAAAAAAGTAAAAATCTGTGTCTATTGGGCAAGACATGCCTACAGTTTAACTTATGTATTGGAACAAGGCAGAGCAAGGTTCATGAAATACTAAGACAAACTGACATTAGATATGAAATAATCTAACTAATCTAACTGCACCAGTTTGTTTTATTACTGAGATTTGAATGTTCTCCTCTCGAGCCCCTCAGCACAGCTGAGACGTGGCCGGCTAAGTTTCCCATAGTTACCATTTGCTGCATTAAAATGCAGTGTGGCGCAGGCTTTGATTGTATAATGTAAGACGTGAGGCAGACTCAGGCACCTGCTGTTTTAGGCCACATGTGAAAAGCCATTAACTTCTATGTTGTACATTAAGAGATGAGCATGGTGTCCACATGGATGGGTGACTGTGCAGAGAGCCATGCTGTGTTCACACAGCAGGCAAAAATGATTTGTTTATCAAAGCTGCTTTGTATGGCTAATCGGATTTCTGCAGAATTACCTGTGCCCTTACAACATTAGTTGCTATAGTAACAATACTGGCAGGTGCATGCAAGACTAAAGGGCTTTTCTATTTAGAAACCTTCTGCACTCTCATTCTATCCTGTTCTATCCATAGCTGCAGCAAAGATTTAGACATAGAGTTTCTATTGTATTTTTATAAACCACGCTAGCTGGGAATGGTAATGTTGGTCAGGCGACATTTTAGCTCACTGCTGTGCCTAAATACACAGCTGTTGGTGTGGTTGTAAACATTAGGAATTGGGTCTCTTCATTTTTCCAGGAACTACCATTCTTCTCCATATTGCAACATATTGTGATACTGTATGAATGACAGTCACACACCTCCAGGACAAGTTTTCACCTGATTTCTGTTTTCTCCTCAGGTCGGACCTCCTCAACAAACTCATCGACCAAACGGAGGATAAAGCCTCGGCATCAGAAAGCCAGACTTACATTGACGTCCCGTCTTCAGCCCTCAGGCGATTCCCAAATTGGCTGCCTGGTTTCCTCAGGCACCGTCCAGCTTCAGGAGCGAGAACAGCCTCACCAAACCTGGCATGGGCACGTCCCACTAAGGCGCAGCAGATTGAGCGGAGGCCCCTGAGAGCTCGTCGCCATGCCCACTCAGGATTGCGGGGTGGTCACCACTACCCCCACCATGCCCAGCTGATGAGAGTGGGCTGCGTCTTGGGAACCTGCCAAGTGCAGAACCTCAGCCACCGGCTCTATCAGCTCATCGGTCAGAGTGGCAGAGAAGACTCATCCCCCATAAACCCCAGGAGCCCCCATAGTTATGGATGAGTTAGCTGATACCCCCAAACACCCACAGCAAGTCTATCTATATTTCCAGTTATTTATCTCTTAATGTATTACTGGTAGTCTTTGCATTAGAGTTTGATGTAGTCCATAACTTTTGTTTTTCTATCTCAAATAGACAATTATACTCCCCATAAAGGACTGTTGTGCCTCAGAATTTGAAGATTCAAATTCAAGATTGTGACTGAATCATTCTGCCACCCACCAGTTCTCCCACCATCCAGAGAACATTTGCTTTTTGAAGAACGTTCTTGTCTTGTCAAAGTCTTTTTGGTACTCCCCCTGAATGCTCACATAAAGCCATGAGGCCTCAGTTTGACGTCTTAATCCTGTTAATATAAGAATGAAGGCTTGTCCTCAACACCATCCAGTGGCCCGGTACTGTCTGCCAACTGAACTCCCCAGCGGTGCTTATACCACAACTCATTGATCAAACACCTAAGCCCCTAATGTGGATTTCAACCTGCACATAAAGCTGGAGCCCTGTCAAAACCAATGAATTCCCAAAGACCTCGTAAATGACCCAGTGAACCCTTTTACCTCTTTTTTGTGCCCCCTTTTGCCAATTTTGAAAACTCCCAGACTATTTCACAACTGCATGTGAACACTAACATCCGTGGAATATTCCACAAGCTCTCAGCTGGGAATTCTTCACTCAGCAGGACTTTGTGTTTCAGAACCACAATTTAGATTTGAAACCAGCCACAGCACTTAGGTTACACCCGAGTTTAAGAGCATTCTGACTCAGAACTCAACCGCATAAAGTCCATGCTGAAATGAAAAAGAATAGGGTCATCATCCAGTGCCTTGGGAAGACTCTATATAGAAACTCACTCCCCAAAGGATCCATTTCAGTGTTGCATATAGTAGCCTGTTGGACTAACACAGGAGGTGGCAAAGTAACCTTGGAGCCATGGATCAGGGCTCTGTCGCACCACTGCTGGCACTTTCCCCACCAGAGGCCAAGTCTGAAATATTAGCCTTTTCACGTGATTCATAAGTTCCCCTTGCAAGTCAGGACTTTGGGTTGACAGCAGTTTATTAAACCTGACCTAATCACTTCAGGCATATGTGCCGCCACAGCAGGACAGGGGGCTCAGCCTCCTATGGTCTGCACACTTAATGCCAATACATAAATATAAAGAACAAAGCATGTGGCTCCCACACATATGTACACGTGCAGCCTTGAAGTTTGCAGATATTAGGGTAGGCTCGCCAAGAATACATTTAAAAAAATCCCCTCACTTTGCAGCATATTTGGGGGATTTTCCAGAGTAACATGGATTCTTATTCTGGAGAGAAATGCTGCTGTTAAATGTTTTAATGCCATTTTCTTGTGCTGTTAGAAGCATAGACACAATTTCATTTATCCCTATTGTATTGAGGTTAGGGTTAGGGTTGGGGTTAGCGGTTAGGGGGTTCCACTTGTGGAGGTAGAAATCTCTAAAAGTTGGCAAATACACCAATAGTAATTCAAACAGTAATGTTGCAAATGAATGGAGAGATAAAGGACAAAAGTTCCTTACATTTCCAACAGGCAGTGCTTGGCAACTTTGAAGTATAGACTTTAGGCTTGGGCAATATCTATTTTTTTTTATATATGATATATATCATATATACGATATATGATAGCATTTGTGTGTATGGTGCTCCCCCTCGTCTGTCTGGTGAGTTGGCTATGTTCCGCAAGCTCTCTTAGCTTTTTCAGGCTAATAAATGAACATTTTAACCTCACAAATTGCCAAGAAAGGTAATATTCTTACTGTGCAAATTCTGAATTCAACTTTGTCTGTCACCAAACGAAGACTAACGTTAGCTTAATAGTCTTGCTAACTCATCATAAAACACCCTATTTTCAAACTCAATGAAACAAAATAAAACTCATGAAAATCATATTAGTCTTGTTAGTCATTAAGTTAGTTTGTCCACTGTTCCAAAAATCACCAACTTTGCTTGGTTTGGTTGAAAAAAAACCCTGATTTACCGAGTTAGATGTGAAAATATGTTGTTTTTCCTCACTGTCTTTCACTGCTGTTGCTAGCTAAGTTGTTGTTTACAGTCCTGTAACAACCTCACCACTCGCAGTCGCCATGTTTCGTAGCTTCCACCAGTAAAGACTGACCTCTGGTGGCGCGGGATGTGCACTACATACACCACATCCTCAATACAGCACCTCCATATGAGTTTAATAGGAAGATGAGTGTCTGTATTTTAGACGCTATTGAAATTAATACTGTCCAGACTTCTCAATACCCTGGCATACACTAACACGGTAATATCGCCCAAGCCTAGTGGTATACAATATAAACAGTCCTATTGGCAGTAATAGGCACCCTGGTTGTTAACGTGTAGTATGTAAAATGGGTTTAGGCTCGTCCTGAGGCGGCGGCTAGAAGCTCTACTGCTACATTATGGGTTTCTCATGAAATACCACAGTGACCAAAATGTTAGGTGTGCCCGATTTCAAATATGTACAAAAAATAGCAAAGCACCATCAAAAATACATGCCCTGACATTTCCTCTCTATGTTTGTCCATCTCTGAAATGGTGGGCGGGCGACAGACTTGGAATAACTTAGGTCACGCTCTACTCATCAAGCAAGCTAAAATTTGGCCTGAGACTTTCCAAAAAATGCAACCTTGTATATAAAACCCACATTTTTGCTGAGAAACATAATTTTATTACATATTATTGACATACTTCTAAACTTCTATTCTAGGACTTTACTATCTGGCAGCCTGATCTTAACCTGCAGGGAGTGGTTGAATGTTTCAAAGCGGGAATAGAAGCTGAACTGTTGGCCCTCTTTCTGATTTATGTACACAGTTATTTAGATGATCTTATCTAGTATTTTAGCCTTATTATTTTATTCTTTTTATTTTGCATATAATTTCACAAACATGAACATTTGGTATTCCTGAGAGCATTAGTTTAAACTCACCAAATACCTGACAATACTTGACAAATCGAATGACTTTACGTGTGATCTGCATCATATAATAATGTATTCTTTTTTTATCTTAATCTGTGTCTTCTGATTTTACTATATGTCTTTACTCTTTTTTTTACATTCAGTGTCTCAGCCCCATCTTGGCTCTCTTTTTTCTTCTGTCTGTAATCATGGAGGTCACAGGGTAATAATCAGTGGTGTCTTAGTCTTAAATCTAATCTGTTCAAAGGCTTGCTGAGGTGAAATATGCCATTCTCTCTGCTGTAATGGAGCTAATCAATGTCTCGTGACAGATCATTAAAAGGCTTTTCAAATGCTGAAAAATCCTGGTGGATCTCTCTGCTTTTTAAAATGTACTACTTCAGACACACGTGATGTGTGTGTGGGTATGTGTTGAGCTGCTGTATGTAGCCTATCAGGACTCTTATCTCCTGTGTTTGATCTGTGCTCTGGACCATTGTGCTCCCAGTCTTTTTTTTTTTTTTGCGCAGTATGTTTTTGTGACGTCAGGAGTTGCGTCATGTCAAGTTGTGTTAGCAAACTGTGCGCGACCGTCAATACCTCCCCACAGAAACACCTTTCATGGCTCTTTGTTGCAAAGAGGAATGAGTGCAGAGTGTAAATGTTACTTTTGTAAGACAGTGTAGATCCAGGTCGTTGTTAGTAGGTTTCTTTTTGCTGATTTTCCATTTGAAAGTCACATGATGTCCTTTAGGGTCACAGGAAAGCACTTTAACGCAAACACGTGTGAATCTAACTCATTGTAATGAACTCGTGAAAGTTGGACAAGGTTCCTCCTGTAAATGTTGCATTTGGGATTATCTGCGAATGTGTTTGAAGATGTCAGTGTACTCCATGTGGCGTTGGGATGACTGTGAACGTCGTGTGCACCTGTGAATATATCTATAGAGATATATATTTAGTCAAACTATTTAAAGAAAGTTATGTATTTAAGTTATCTTTGTATGTTAATATCTGTATGTCACCAAAGACTATTTATCTCACCTTTTCCACTGCTCCTTAAATATGACCTTTTGGTAGGAAACAAAGTCTTAACTGTAGTTAAAATGTTACTGTTTGACAATGTCTCTGTAAAATAAAGAATTATACTGTAATAAGATGAGTACGACTAAAGAGTGTGTGTATTTGTGTGTATTCCTATGAGACATAAAATCATGCAATAAAAAAGGCTGGGCTACACCATTAAGAATGAATTTAACCTAAGATTAGTTTTAATCAGAGCTTAACAAAACTAGGGTTAAAAAAAGCAGAACTCTGTTTCACAATTAAAAGTTAATCTCTGTTTAGTAATTCCTATTGACGTAAAACAAAATTAAATGGAGTTTAATCAATATGGAGATGCTTGCTTACCCAAATTTAAATAAGTAAGTAAATAAATGTGTGTGTTGTAGGGAGCTAGTAGGCCCAAGTAGGCTATAAAAGAAGGGATTCTCTTGTCAAAAAGCCAATGGCATTTTTATTGGAGTTTGAATTATTGCAGAAAATAAGCTCTGTGGCAAACAAAATTTTATGATACTTGATGATTCAGCAAGATAATCTTCACAAATTAACACCACTTTTATGATTTCTGCAACATAAATAGAATTGCCATAAGCAAAAAAGCTAGCTTTAGACTATAAAGAAACTACACTATAGTAACGTGACTTAACCTCACCCCAACAACTAGGCTCTAAAGCTGTGTTTGGCATGATGGTGCTATGTAGTCATGCAGCCACTTGTTAGCCTTGTCTTTAAAGACACCTAAAAGCTTCCAATTTCTTGAGTGGGGTATTTAGCAATGTATTTTATGTCATAAAACAACCCAGCCATTGGGGGGGGGGGGGGGGGGGGGGGGGGGCACTTTCTGGATACTCCTGATGCCGGTCCCAAGGCCAGATAAATGACGAGGGTTGCATCAGGAACAACAATCACCTCCGGTGCTGTTGACCAGTGGGGTGGCGGTGGAAATTGGACGACTGTTGGTCGAAGACCATCAAGTGAGGCAGATGGTCCGCTGTGGCGACCCCTGAGGGGAGCAGCCGAAAGACAGGAACATTTTATGTCACTGACTTTATTTAAGGCATCTAACGAAAACCAGTAACTTCGACTTGAGGGAACTGGCAGTGCTAAAATGCTAATTCATTTCAAGGTTTTAATTTGCTAGCTAGCTTAAAAGTTAGTTAGCTGGAAGTTACTCATGAAGGCTTGGCAGAGAAACTCTAATATCTCCTCGTCCCTTGACAAAAAATTGACCAAACAATGAGGTATATAGCCAAATAATAGATAACAATAGAAACACAGTAAGGACAAAGGGGACTTCCTGTCAGAAACTGGCTGTCAAATTTAATGGAAAATGAGGGAGCATTCTATTTTTCTGAGTTTGTCCTTTAATGTTCTTCATGGATCTTGATGATTTTGAGCTAAACCTCCTCAAGTGTAAGTTTAAAGTTAAAACTGGACCAGATTTTAAATTGAAGTTTAAAGCCGAAAATTATAAAATTATAGCCGTAATTATGATTTAATCACATTTAAAAATTAATCCTGGTTGGTGCAACCCAGCCTTAATGCACCAAAAGGTTCTCAATATTCACATAAAAAAATCCAAAATCTGTGATCCAGGGAATTTTTATTTTCAAAGACTCTTTCTAATCATTTCCACCCTCCTCCGTGTTACTGTGTCCTTGGCCAAACTGTTTTGACCCAGTAATCCCCAGAGAAGTCAATCATTACAAGTCACTCCACGAGAAAACTAACAAATCTAGTGGGGGACGATGTGAATGGGAAACATATGATCATAGCGTCACCAGCCACGTTAGCAGTGAAGGTCGTATGACTGGACAGAGTTAATGAATGACAGAAGGTCTGGTCAACAGCAGATGAGCCATTGGTTCATTCCAAATGGAGAGGAAAGAGAGGACAGGAGGATTTAAAAATTCCTGTATTTCCACTTGCTCAGTTTGACAACTTGAATAAATAGCAAATTGAATTTTGATCACATTTTTAAAAAAATCACAAATCAGTTACTTAATTAAATATTTATTCAGGTGCTAACAGTGTGAACAGTGCTAACAATGCAGGCTGTTCTCATGCAGTAGTTTGTACATGTAACCTACCTATGAATTGTATTGCACCACAATTTCCATACAACCCACATAATCATGAGCCAGCAATTTGCACATAACCCACGTAACCTGGAAGGCTGCATTCACGTGGCCAATGCGCTGACAGGAGTAAATAAGTAAGTAGTATAAAGACTGAAAGTATGCAGAAAGAGGCAGATTTGGGTGGTGGATGGGTGAAGAAGATAGGGTTTAACAGTCATCCTATGTGTTGGAAGTGCTAGATCATTGACTTCGATCCTCACAAATCTTCTCTTACTCTGAAATAAACCAGGGGTCAATGGAGGTTTACTGGAGGTGAGTGTTGGCAAACCATCTTAGAACACACACCATGTTAATAAGAGAACTTTTGAGTTGTATTTCTTCTCTTTGACACTGCCTCCACCCATCTCCATCCCCCTGCATAGACACAGAGACACTATACTGATGTCAATCCTTCATCATGGGCTTTTTCATTGGCACTTTTGGCTATGCCAAGTCAAAACACGGCACGTTAATTTGCGTTTAATGCATTGTTGAGTTGTGGCAAGCTGTGCCTGAGATGCTTAGCCAGCTACTTTGGATTTAGTGCTCCGCTAACTTGAATTGGGATAAAATGATTTAATTGTGTTGCTCTTCTAGACATTCCAAATGTTATCAGACCTAATGGATCGAATCCCGATAGTAAAACTAGTCATTTAGTGGGGGGTTTTGATGCTCAAAGTATGTGTCCGCTGATTTACAGACATCTCTTCCGCCGTAAGTCAATGGGAAAAAATTTTTGGGGGGCCACCGGGCATCACGTGATGGATGTAATCACACAGTTTGACCACTACAAAAATTGGCTTCAAAGCCTGGCACACTTCTCAAGAGCCTGTAGATGTCAAGTAAGAATCAGAACAATAACATGAAACTCCATGATGATAAGCATCTGGCTACAAAAACCCAGTGCATAGTACAATAGGAATCAGGGCTAAAGATGGCATTGCTTCTCAATGTCACTAGCTCAAGAAAGACAGTTAAAGACATGCCTTCAAGTGGGTAGACCTCTTGTATGAAGATGCAAATACCTGTCAAACCAAGCCAGCCCCTGTGCATGGAAAAGGGCTACAGGTATGAGACAGCAAACAAACTGAACCCTAATATACTGTATTCTAAGTAACTTTAATGCACTGAATTTCAAATTCAAGCCCTTACAGTACTCATTACTTAAAACAGTTGCTTTTAGTTAGCTTACAAAACACACCAGAAATTTATGCTGAGGCACATATACATTTTTAGTGTAAAAATTCCCTCTCTCCACACTAAACACAAGACAGACACAGAGACTAGCTGCAGCATCTAGCAGCTAAAGACTCAGATATCTCCCTCAGGAGATGGTAGGGACCAAAAATTCTTTTGAGTCTTGTGAGTCCGCCAACTTTAATGAAGTGCAATTCTAAATCACTAGAGGGGACAGGGGACTTTTATCTAAAGGGCAACCTCATAATGTTTTTATATGGCTCTTCTCTGCTTTTTAAAACTAGAAATACACATTCCTGAAAATTTGGTCCTCGTGCCTTTCCTTTATCACTTTGCTCTTACGTTTTATCACTATGTAAATAACAAATAACAAAAAGTCCAGCAGCAGGAATTATGTCATATCGTCCTGTCTGCAGCTGATGGATGTCAGCCAACAGAAACTGTGTCACATACCAGTGAACAATCTCCCCTTGCATCTACAGTTTAGGCTTTTAGTTTGAGCTCATAGTCCTGGAGTCACATGTAATGAGAGTATTCATGTCAGCAAAATAACTAACATCCTCCAAGTGGTGATTAAAAAAAAAGATAAATCATCTTGACTATTAAAAGCACATTGTGTCTCCACTAACCACTAACTGAAGCGTTGATCAGGCCAAGTGACTGGAGATAGGTGACTTATTGCAGTGATTACTAACTCTGTGGAAACTCACAGATCTGGTTCATGTTGCCTGACAGAAAAAAGAGAAGTACTCCTCAACATTTTACATGTGACAGATCCGCACAAACTTGAGAGAAGCAAAACGTTCCACAGCATTCAGTGGAATGCAATCCTGCAGACTCTCAGTGTAAATCAGAGGCGTGACATTAACAGGAGAGAGGGAGAAGAGGGAAAAGAGATTTACAGAGAGGGATAAGTCTAAGCTCTGTGGCCTCTTCTTCAGAGACACCTCAGCAATGCAAGCTGGGAGGTCTTTATCTCTCTGAAAAGAGATTTTCCTGTAGATGGATAAGACAGAGGAAATCCATCTAGGTCATTGTGTGCCCCTTTCAAAATGGCAGGTTGTGTGCTGTCCTAGTTTGAACTACATGTTGTACACAAAGAATACTGTATTTTATATTGTAAATTTTTAGCCAGTATAGAAGAAGTGAATGTACTGTGCCATTTTGAATTAACAGAAAAAGTTACAATAGATGTAGGTCTGCAACTAATGATCATTTCCATTGCTGATTAATCTGCTGAGTTTTGTCTTTTGGTCAATAAAACATCAGCAAACAGTGAAAACATGCTTACCAACATCCAAGAGCACAAAGTGATGCCACCAGATGACTTATTTTGTGTGATCAACAGTCCAAAGCCTCAGAATTTTTAATTTCCTGTTAAATAAGACCAAGAAGAGAAGTGAATTTTCAGACGTGAGAACCTGGAACAATGAGATGTTTGGCGTTTTTTGCTCAAAAGAATTATTTAAACAGCTGATGTTTTCAGTCATTACTGTTTTGGCTTTACTGGCCAAAACTTTAGAGTTTGGTTCACTCACCACTCTTATCAGTGTGTTGTTTCCAGCTGCAACAGGCAGCTGTTTTCAGAGAAAAAGCTCTGATTAACCCACTGCACACTACCTGCCCAGCAGTGTAACAGCAAACAGATACAGTTCACGACTAGCTAGTGAACGTAGTGAATAATTAGCAGCTAAAGAGACAGATATTTTTTCTCAGAAGTTGGGGTGGAGACCAAAAACAGAGCTGAAAGGAGAGAGACTTTTTGACTTTTACCATGGACAAT